ATATATATATATCCTGAATGAGCTACAATATGTGATATAATATGTGATAGATATTTTATTACAATTGTTTTAAAGCTTTTTTTTTTAGAAATTCAGTATCATGATAAATAAACCTCATTTCATTTTATATTATCTGATTTTTTCATTTAAATTAATTTTAAAAACGAAATAAGTAAAGAATCATTGTGTCTGTTATAATTTTTTTAATTTATCTTCACAAAAATAATATCGAGTTTTAATTTTCGTTTTTTATTTCTATATTTGTTTCTATTACATGTACAATGTTCACAAAAATAATATCGAGTTTTAATTTTCGTTTTTTATTTCTATATTTGCTTCTATTACATGTACAATTTTCTCAATGATCTTAAGAATATATGTATTATTTTGCACTATGTCTTCTAACGAGAAATCATATCTCTCAATTCATTCATTTGCATAATTAATTGTATGATGTTTATGCATGTAATTAATATTAATTTTCAAGAGCAAGTTTTCTGAGTTTAATAATCCAGTTTTCAATGGTATTGAATGTTGAGTTGAAACTTGTATAAAATGAAGCGATGAACTCAAAACAGTGATGAAGAACATGCGTCAGAAGCGACATTATCTAATTGTTTCGATTAAAACGAACGGAGAAGGAAATTGAAAATTGAGCTGAAAGTCGTTTTCGAGAAATGCTATATACTGAGCACCTTATGCATCGATCACTCAACTACACTATGTACATGATATAGAATGATCTGCTAAAAGTAAAACTTATTATTTTGTTTGATTCTAAAACTTGTTTGATTCTAATCTAATATTCGAATTGTAACATAAATGTTAAAATCATTTCTGTTTAATATAATGAAAATTATTAATTAATATTAAGTTATTAGTTTATTATGCTAACATATAGATATATGTATAAAAATATAAGGTTTTTAAACATGGAATATGTAGTTTAGTTACTAACCATTTAAAAAAATGATCATCCAATTATTTCGAACAACGTATCAATATTTCACAGAGAAATAATTTCGATTATCTGCCCTATTATATATATATTGATTTGTTTTAATCAATTAGTTCAGCAATAAAAGATCTAAAAAATCTATATAATTATATATAAAATATTAATAATCTTAAACAATTTAATATAAAATCTTAACAATTTATAAAAATTAAACAATTTATAGAAAAATTAAAATTTATATCTTATATATTATATAGAATTTATTTAATTTTTTAATATTTCATAATAAAAAAAAAAAAATTATATGTTATGATGATCCATCCATTATTCTTGATGATTTTTCCAATTGACTCAAGTTATCAATAATCAAGATCATCATGTTACTTTATGAAATGCTTTGAATATAATTCCAATTTGACATGCCTTTCCCATATGTCCCTTTTTCTCTCACTCTCCTCTTTCTCATTCACAAACACGTTCACGTGTATATGTATATATATTATATATATGTAAGTCACGTCGGTAGCAGGTTATCGAACACGCGCTCTGACGTCACAAAGGTACATCGTTCGCATCGTCGAGCAAAGTAAATCATCCCGTTTCGTCACCCGCACAGCCTGAATACGTTTATATTTTAAAAAAAAAGAAAATGCCATTGCTTTTAATGTTTTGATATATGTCAATCAATGCATTAAATCGACAAAACTTAGAATCGTAATAGAAATGTCTTCTGGAAATCACATGATTTCTTTAGAAGCAATTGGCCGTATGTTATTATTCAAACGAATCATAAAGCATCCATATTTAGCTTTTATACACTTGGTACACGTGTCTGCATATATATATATGTCTTTTTTATATATCTACACGTTAACTCTATCCTTGTCCGGTATTCTTGTTCCAATATACAAGAATAAAGGGTTTATTTCTTAATCTCTTTAACTTGTCTTAATATATTTAATTTAAATTATAAGAAATTTAATAAAATTTCTACTAAATAATAAGTTTTCTATATCATATCGAATCTTCCATCATGTGATAATAATAATTGATTATCAATTCATATAATTTTTGCTTAAGACTAATTTATCGATAACATAATTCCTTGTATAATATGACTAAAAGTACATAGGATATAAAGGATTAAAAAAAAATATTGCTGAAAATAATTAAAACTCATGAAATATGTGAAGTTAGAAAATATAAAACGCACCTTGAGACCTTCATCTTCTTCATCTTCCTCCGGATTGTATGTTTCCGCGAAAACGCTTTTCCTTCTTGTTGCCAACTTTGTAATTGGTGGTTCTGTAAGAAAAAATATATTTGAATATAAAATTTTAATATTTTTTTTACAAATATTTGTTAACAACTTATTGGTTTATATATATATAAAAATAAATAAAATAGATTAATTAAATTAATTCCTAAATTAATTCGTTGAAAATTTAAAGAGCACATGGACAAAAAGTATAAATTAAGCGGGAAAAATCCTACCCGTTTCCATTGATATATACGTATATAAATTTTTTTATAAAATTGTTAAGAATCACTAATACACCGATCAAATTTTGAAATCAAAATAAAATATCGCAAATATGCACTTAAAATCTCTGAAAATAAGTATATCACTCGGTTTCAGGAGGAATACTTGACACGATGAGAAGTCGCATCCCGAATGAAAATTTACTGGCTTACCTTCATCGACAGACTCGTCCGGCGTAGAAGTGGTGGTCTGCGCAGGGGCTTGAATCAACTGAGTTTGACGGCTTTCCCGAAGTTGCGTGAAAAAAGCTATGGCATAGTCGATAATATCCACTGGTTGCTCCAACAGATAGCTAATTGTGAACTCTAACAGAACGTCCCGCAATTCGTCTGGCACTATAATCTTGCTAGCGTTACGTTGATAACTCATTTTTCTTACACTAAACGATGTTTGAATAAACACACACTATAATAGCATACGCCGGTAAATGATCAACTGATAAATTATATAAGTTAATATATTGTCACTGCATGAACAAGTAACAGGAATTCGATGTGTCACTTATCAAATGCAAAAATTTTCTTATCACGTATTGCAGTGAGGCTAAAAGAACGTAAGACCATGCGTTCCGCCCACTTTTGCTGAGCTACACTCTTGATACAACTCGAACACTATCCAGTCTCGTCGAACCGTTTTACTTCGACACTAACTTTCAATGATTTTTTTCTCTGACGCTACATAAAGCTGCGCGGAACATACAACGAACCAAATTAAGAGATGCGACTCAGTCGCAAAGATGGCGACTATTTCACGGCGAGAATCTTGACATTACCAGAAGGATTATACTGAACATTTAACTGGCAAATAATAGGCAAATTGAACATCATTGAACGAAAGCAAATGTATAGATTGTAGACCAACAGTAAACTCCCACATAGTATTCGATTTCCACTGCTTTTAGATATTGTTCGTACGTATGAATTCGTTGAGCCAATGAAAGTCTTGATGTTTGATGTACCGTTGAGCTTAACCTTCTTCTTATTGGTTAGTGAATGTTTCAAATGTAACATGGTCAACGCATGTTGAGTACACACTTTGATAAATAATTATTACGATTTTATTTCCTTTAAGTCCAATTCTTATTGACTTGAAAAATGCCCCCTACAGGCAAACGGTTTAAATATTTTTGACTATTTCAAAATCCATCGACCTTTCTATGTTTAAATTAGTATTTTTAGCCATGTTTTAAGTAAGTAAATCTCAACACGTGTATCTTGTCAAGAATTAGAATAATATTAAGAAATATACAATATATAAGTACATAATTAACTTGTACATTAAAAAATTATTTCTACAATTATTATACATATATATCACTAGGATGAATAATAGAATTAATAATATATTAATTTGTAAATAAGTTATTAAATAATAATTTGAAGAATATCAGGTTAACTCAATGTAAACAATATTTAAACATCCATAAAAAAAAATGGCGGAGACAGGACAATTTGACGAATTCTTGGGTGGATCACAAAAATTACCGAATGAAGTTCATATTATGAAACTTGTTTCTGCAAGAGCTAGTGAAATTGCTGCAATGACTTATTCTATAGGTATTTTAACTAATATATTAAATTAATTTAATAAACCATAACTTTTTTAACAAACTTTTGTAAATTTATATCACTTATGTAAAAAATTAATATTAATTAATATTATTATTATTTACAGAAAATCCTCAACAAACGAAACTTGTATTTCAAAAATTACCCGTGTATATGCGCAGGCGCGTTATGTCACATAATGTTAAACGTTTACCGCGCAGATTACAGGAAGCACATTTAAATCAAATGACCAAATCTGGATTGCCGCCAAAAATTAAAAGACCATCACGTAGATATCGTAGGCGACCACGTAATTTATTAGCGGAATATAAACGAAGACAAAGAAATAAAATTTGGTTAGAGACTCATATTTGGCATGCAAAACGTTTTCATATGATAGAAAAATGGGGTTACAAAATTGCAAATTATGCGAACGATAAATGTTTTAAAGCTAATTATCGTGCTATAGCAAAACATTGTTTGATGCAAGATATTTCATATTATACATGTGTGGAAATTAATGGTCTTGAAGAAATTTTAAAAGAAACATTAAAAAGTCATTGCAATCCATTGGAATTAACATTTGCCGCAAAAATTTTTATTACAGGCACTCGAGAAGGAACTGTAATGTTTTATAAAAAAAATGGCTATCCTCAATTTCCAATTGGTTATGTATATTTTTTATGGAGACCAAGTTATTCTGATTTAAGAACTATATGGATTTGGGTGCATCCATCTTTTCTAAATGATTTTATTACAGAAATTATTCTTAGTTTTGGATTTAAATCAAGCGACGAACATTTTATTTCTAATTCAAATAATCAAACTCCAGAATGTTCTTTGTATATTAATGAAACAAATTGTAAAATGATTATTCATAAAAATATTTTTAATCGATTTCGTTTTTATGGGCCATCAACCATTAATGTTTTAACCAATGTTCTTCATTTACCAAATTTTGATAAAATATTTCATTTAAAATCAGATAAAATGCAATTTGATGATAATCAAATGAATTGTGAAACTCAGAACTATAATAATAAATCGTGGCATATTGAATATTACAATCAAGAAAATATTGAGTCTTTAAAAATTCAAAAACAATTATGGCAAGTGCTAAAAACATTACAATCACCTAGTCAATTGCCACCAAATATTGTTCTTGGTTTTACGGTTCTAGATCCAAGATTCTATTTACCTGTTAAAAGAACCAAGCCTCAAAGAGAGATAAAAACAATTGAAATAATATCAATGCCTATTGCAGAAGCAAATTTTAGTCCAATTTGGGAACAGAAAATAAGAGAAAAAGTTAGTAAAACATATATAACAACAAGTGCAATTAACAAACTAAGAAGCCAATGTTTAGTACCAGGATTAAATAATGATAAATATTTTAATGAAGAAATCATGGCAAAGATACCTATATTATTAATTCAAAAACCTGGGATTGGTAATGCAGGTAAATATTAACAATGCATCTATTTTTATCAATGATGATTGAATATATATTCATAAATATATTATTCTAGGTTTAAGTTCTAGTATAGATATTATTCTTCCATCTAATTGGGCTATGCCATTTTGGCTTGCTTGCATATTTCGTTGTGTAAGAGTTGGTGCTCTAAGAGAATCAAAATCTATAGCATTTGAATATGAGAACATGAAATGTTCAAATATTAATGATCCAGATACACCAGCATATGCAAGAGAAGCATTAAATACTAAATTAGAATTAAAAGAAAAATATTTTCATTATCCACCAAATAGACGTGTAAACTTTATTAAGTTTGGAATTTCTAGTCCCTTTTTTTGTGAATGGAAAATTTTAATGAAAGAATGGGCAGCTACAGAAGATTTTTTTGTATTAAGAAATCGTAAATTATTAAACTTTCTACAAGATAATTTAAGTTCAGAAGATAACAAAAAAAAACATAAAATATTAAAAAATCATACATCAAATCTTACTATGCAAAATGCGTTTGAAAATAAAAATTGTTTAATTCGCGTTAAAGTATATATTGTAAAGAAAGGATGTCCCAAAAGGTTTGCTTTAATATGTATGCCAACTAATGAAGATGTAGAAAAATTTAAAAATAATAGAAATTGGTCAGGTCCTATCGAAAAATTAAATATTGATCCAAATGAAACTTTTCGGAAAATATCACGAAAGAATCATTTGGCATTTTTAAAACGATTAAAAAAGCAAAGAATACGTCATAAAAAAACACTAATTAATAAATTAAGCAAAATATTAAACAAAGAACTTGGAAGTTTTAATTATGAAGATAAATCTAAGAAATTACTAGAAATAAGTCGTGAAGCTATATGCAAACAATCCCAAAAAATGTCACAATTATATCTTCCAGATTGTACCAGTGTACGAAATTCTTGTGATAGGGAAATTATGGGTTATATAACAATGGGTGACTTTTCTTTTACAAAAGCAAAGGGTATAGGTTTAGGGTATACTACATTAAATGCCCTAATTGAGTTGATTAATAAAAAACATTCTTTTGTTCTTATTAGAAACATTCAAACAAGACAATATAGAATTGCTACATTGGAAGTAGTAACTTAGTAAATAAAAGTAATAAATTATTATTTAATATTGATTTGTAATTATATTTAATTTTATAATATTTATAATTCAATTGTAATTATTGAATATTGTATCTGAAAGAATATATATGTATATATATGTTTTTGTCGTATTTATATATTGTTATTAGAAATTGTAATTACAATATATATTAAAAAAAAAAAATTGATAATAAACATTTTTAATTTCTTTAGTTATAATATATATAGTATATATAGTATATATATTTACATTTTTATATTTAAGAATGTTTTATATATATACACATATATACATATATATATTCACATACATACACACATACACAATTATCGATATGTCCTTACTATACTGTATTCAGTAATTCAGTCTATTGAAATATAATACTACCAGAATATTCTATTTAATTCTCTCTTGATTAGTCAATAATAAAAAATCGTTTAATTAAAATATTCAACATGACACGTGTAGCTGTTGTAAGTATAGTATAAACTATATGTATAAGAATATTATATATTGTTTATTAGTTTTATCGATATTGATTATTGTTATTACGATTATTATACAATTTTGTTTAAATTATTCAAATATTGTATATAGATAATTTATGAAATATTTAGGTAACTGGTGGAAATAAAGGCATTGGATTTGCTATCGTAAAAAAACTTTGCAAACAATTTGATGGAGTTGTATATTTAACAGCTCGTGATGTCAATCGAGGATTGAATGCGATTAAGCAGCTTGAAAAACAAGGTCTAAAACCCAAATTTCATCAGCTTGATATTACTGATGATAATAGTATCTCTACTTTTTATAATTATTTAGAACAAAAATATAAAGGACTTGATATATTAGTTAACAATGCTGCTATTGCATTTAAAGTAATTATAATTTAATTTATTAATTTATTTTTTTTTTTAAAAATACTGTTATATATATTTTATTAAATATATAGATGGATGCTAAAGAACCTTTTTCTATACAAGCTGCAGAAACATTGAAGACAAATTATTTTGGTTTAAGAAAAGTATGTAGCAAACTTTATCCATTATTAAAACCACATGCACGTGTAGTACATGTATCAAGTTCTTCTGGTCACTTATCATTAATTCCTAGTGAAACACTAAGAAATAGATTTTTAAATCCAAATCTTACAGAGGAAGAATTAGACAATATTATGCATGAATTTGTTGAGTATGTTAAATTATTACAAATATATATTAATTTATAATTTATTATATTTTAAAATATAAATATTTTAATTTTTAATTATATTTTTAGTGCTGCAAAGACAAATACACATTTAGAAAAAGGGTGGGCAAATTCTGCTTATGTTGTAAGTAAAGTGGGAGTATCTGCTTTAGCTAGAGTTCATCAAAGAATATTTAACTCAGATTCTAGACAAGATCTAGTAGTAAATGCTGTACATCCTGGTTATGTAGACACTGATATGACTAGTCATCGAGGTACTTTAACACCTGATCAAGGTGCTGAGGCTCCTGTTTTTTGTGCATTATTGCCAGAAGATACAAATATAAAGGGTAAATACATTTGGTACGATAAATCATTAGTAGATTGGACAAAAGCTTAAATGCAGAACAATATAATTTGATTTTCTGTTATATATTCATTTCTTTATTTCTAAAATAATATTTGTTTTATTATTTATATAACATTTTTTTTTATAAAATTTATTGCTTTTATGAACAGCAATAATTTTTTTTATATGCAGTACATATAATAAGGAATAATTTTAAGAATTCTTATAATTAGAAATTAATATTTTAATATTAAACTCAATTTATATACTTATAGATGTACAAATTCATAGTTTGTATTTCATTGTATATAATTCTTGATTTCAATAGTAAAAAATAAATCAGAGATATTTTTATCTAATAATAATATAAATTATCTTGCTTGAACTGCTGCTTCCTTGCGTGCAGCATCCTGTAATAACTGAGTATCCACTTCATCTCCTGGTAATTGTACATAACGTACTACTGATCCTCGAATAAAACAATTTTTTACAGATAACTGAAAGTTATTATATTTTTATTTCTTATTATAATTTTTTTTTTATTTATAATATTTTTTTTAAGAAAATCATTAGAAAGATTAAAATTATTACAAACCATGTGAGGATATTTATCTGGATCAGTTACACTTATATCAGTTAATTTTATATTCAGATATTGATCTACTGAATGCAAAGTGCCACAAATACTAAATAAAAAAAGTTTTATTAAATAATTTTATTAAATTAAAAATTAAAAAAATATTTCTACTGGTCTTACCTTAAATCGTTTTTTAATTCTACAACTACGTCCTTTCCGATCAAGGATTTGAAGAACGAATAAAACAACTATAAATGAAATTATTTTGTTATTAAAAAAAAAAAGGGGGTTAACTTGCCAAATCGAAACTGATGAACTTACCATACTTAATAAACTTAAAAATTTTATTCAGACTTCTTATTTTTTTATTTTATAAACATAATGAAAATAATTATATAATATATATTATATAATTTAATAATTATTTAAACTAAAAATTATATTAATTCCAATTACCGGCACAAAATTGCTATTATGACAATTTGTTTGAAAATGTCACTACACACGTTATATGTTCAGATTTATATCGTTAAACATTGACTTTAATATCTCGTCAATATTATTGAATTATAAACTTTTTATTTAAGTTTATTTTAATTTTTGTTTATTTAGAAATAATTTTTTAAATAAGAAATAATTTAATAATAATAATATAAAATTATATATAAAATATTTCAATTGTATCTTGCTTCTTATTTGCTAGTGTTATTTTTACTGATTGGATATTTCCATTAATGCATTATGCATATTTAATCGTTCTTTGTAGAACAGTCTTGAAGAATTTCATCAATAAAGTTTTGTTAAAATATGTTTTAGTATGTGTCAAAACTTATACTTATTCGTGATTTAAATAAAAGTTCACTTAATTTTTTATCTATTTAAACGTATTATTTGATAGATAAGATCATTGTTTTACGGTTGGTAACAGAAGGGCGTTGACATTTATCAAAAAGGCAAAACGTGAAGATGCATCTGTGACATTAATTTGTCAGTAGCAATTTTATCGGATTTGTTGTTATGATTGATTTTTTATGAATTAAACGAGAAAGATGTCAATTAATTTAACAAAAAATAAAGACGCTTTGGTGGCTGCATGGCACAGCGTAGTCGACGATAAATCGTCTACTAACTGGTAGGCTTTCATATCTTTTTTTTATGTTATATTTTATCATCTTGTCTAGTGTCTAAAATCGCTGACTTATATGTATAAAACTTAAAATTTAAATGTTCAATTAAATCTTCAAAGATTTACAAAATAAATTATATTTAATTATTTTTTTTTATCTATGTTTTTTATTTGATCGATAGAAATAATATAAAATTAATAGACATAATTTGCATTTTTAATAATAAATGATCATAATATTGAGTTAAATAAAAAGTGTCTTTATTATGTGTTATTAGCATTTATTTATTACTATTTATGTATAATTTTATTATTAATTAAAAAAAGAAATATAAAATGATAAATATGCAAATTTTTATTAAGATATAATAATAACATATATTTATAGGGCTTTGTTTGGATATGAAGGACAAACTAATAATTTAAAAGTGGTTGGTTCTGGAAATGGAGGTCTAGAAGAAATGATTGATTCTTTAAATAGTAGTCATATCATGTATGCCTTTTGTCGTGTAATAGACACTAAAACAAGCTTACCAAAATGTCTTTTAATAAATTGGGTAAAAATTTTTAAAAGATTATTGTTTTTACTTTATATTTATATATTAAAATGAACTATGTTTTAGCAAGGAGAAGGAGCACCAATTGTTAGAAAGGGTACCTGTGCAAACCATATTAGAGATATAGAAAAATTATTAAAAGGTGCTCATATAACAATTACTGCTCGTTCTGAAGATGATGTTGAAGTAGATTCTATCATGGAAAAACTTGCTAGAGCAACAGCTTCAGCATATAAATTTAATGAACCACGTGGTGAAAATGAAGGTAATACAGGTCCAGTAGGAACTACATATCGCAGGTATATATTTTTACTATGTTAATTACAACAATTTTAGAATTTTTAATTTAAAGAGAATATATATTGCAGAGTAATTCCTGAACAAGAAATAAATGCAACAGAACGTGATCAATTCTGGCAAAGGGAGGAAATGGAGGAGAAAAAAAGATTAGAGCAAGAACGTATTAAATGTGAAAAAGAACGACAACGGCTTGAAGAAGAAATTAGAACTAGAGAAGAAAAAGAAACATTGCTCAGAGAACAAAAAGTAAATAAAAGTAAATATACTTTATTTTATTTATTCAATATTTATATATGCTATTTAAATATTTATAGGTCACTGCCAAAGAAAATTCAATAGCGCGACAAAAATTGGCAGAACAACGTGCCGAAGAGGCGAACAATTTACGTAATCAATTAGCTGCGAGTCAACATTATAGCAATGATGTTGATGATGATCATAGATCACGAAGTGAAGAGTTGCGACGACAGAGAAGCAAAGAAACGCAACAATTAATAGCACAAAGAACAATAAATGCACGAGCTGTTTTTGAACAGAATTCAGCAGCTGGTCAAATGAAATCTTCTTCAGTACAACAACAATATATACCGAAGAATAGTCATGTAGAAGCAGCTAAAAAAGCAATTGAAGAAAGTCAACAAAAGGATGTATCTCATATTAAAGTTCAGGAAGAAACGAAAATAGTAAAGAATAAAACACATAATGTTGATAGTATAGTAACTACTACTGTTTCAAATACATCTTCGCCTCCGAATCAAGTTCAAGAATCAAAATTATCAGAACTAGAAGAATCTCAGCAACCATCAATGACAAAAGAAGTAGTTACTGAAAATGAATTATACAGTCAAATGGATGGTCAGTACTTATATTTTGATCCAAATAATGAAGGAATGAAAGCAAGAGCTTTATATGATTATCAAGCAGCTGATGATACGGAAATTACATTTGATCCTGGAGATATTATTACACACATAGATGCTATTGATGAAGGATGGTGGCAAGGTCTTGGTCCTGATGGTACTTATGGACTTTTTCCTGCTAACTATGTTGAAGTTATTGATTATAGTACAACATGATAAAAACAATTTTTATGCAAATAGTTCTTTTTTCCAATTAAACCACACTTGCTTGTTTGCATATAAAAAGTGACATTCAATATTCTAATAATTTTGCACTTTTTTTCAATAACTTACAGTTTTTAGATGCGACGTATTTCGACGAATATAAAAAAAACAATAATAATATTAATTAAAATAAGAGAATTATTTATGTTTTAAATAAATGCACATTCAATAATGAAGAAAACCAATATTTCTAATAATAATCACGTAAAAGATAAATATTGTTAATATTTTAGCGAACAAGATTTAAAAAATTAATAATCTTACAATGCCACTTCATATACAAATAGCGAAGTACGTCTTCCCATTCAATGTCACAAACTAAATAAATTAGTAAACAAATATATCTTTTTATAACATTCTACGTCGAAAATCGATGCGCTCATAGAAATAGCATATTTAATAATTTAGCAAATATCCTTTAAATATATTTACAGGATGTAATAATAACTATTTAGGAACATGTTTAATTGTTTAAACAATAAATTAAATTTGTTATAGTATGTACTTTATGATATTTTAACCCAAAATATCCTTTAATTTAGTTAAATTTTTTTTTATGTAAAGTACAAAATTCTTATAAACAGTTGCTTTATTTCACTCGGAGATGCTGGTATCATGAATCAATATGAAAGTAGTTATATTAAACTTATTTTACTATATGATATAGAAATTTTTACAGATGAATGATTATACTAAATTAAAATAGAATCACAATATTGATTTTATATAAATAAAATAAATGAAATCATCTACGGTAATTTTGATTTTGAGTACCACTTCCACTACCCCCAGCATGACTCAAAAATGCTAAATGACCTTTTGGACATTTATTGGCATAATGACCTTTAGTTCCACATTTATAACAAGTGACTTCTTCAAGTGGTTTTTGCGGCCCTCTTGGTGGAGGTCCATTATGGATATTCATGTGATGTGTAGCATGAGAATTACCTTCTATCTCTTGTCTAACTTGAGCTTCACGTACATCAGGTGGCATTTTATTACAATAAATTGCTTTGTGACCACCTTCTCCACAAAAATGACAAGTGATCATTACTTTTTTACCTTCTTTAGGTTGCATATCTTGCACTGCTGGTAATTCAAATCTTGGACTAAAAATATAAAGTTTTAAATTTATGTATTATCATAATAATTACTTTTTAATATACTAATATATTTAACCGATGGTCAACTTACTGCATAAATTTACAATTTGGACCTTCAGGACAAAATCCAGCTAAATATGCCATGCATAAAACACGACGAACATGTCGATGTCTGCATAATGGTCCATGTCTACAAAATCCACGATCATACCAGGGACAATCTCTGACTTTAGTTTCTGGGTCAATATGTAGGAATGGACATTCTTTATTGTGACAAGCATCTAATAATTCATAACTCATTTTAACATACCTATACTGGGAAAACTTAGTAATATCACAAATAAGAAATATTAAAAAAGAGAAGAATATTTATAAAAATATA